TTACTCTGTTCTCTTGCAGGAAGGCTAATAATGCTGATGAGATGGGACTCTTTCCTATCAGAGACCTCATTTTTATTGCCTAGTACTTCAGAAGCTCTCTGGGATAGAAATCCACCCCCTTCACCAGTCTGTGGGACTTGACCCACAAGGCATTACAGTAACTCACATGGGCTAACTGTGCTTCCTGTTACCCGTTACTACAACTTATATGTCCTAATCTCACCAAACAAGTGGTCTTCTTAGCTTCAGCACTAGGGTGACTACCATTTTAAATAATTTTTTAAATGGAACGAAAAAACAAACACAACCAGGTCCCAGAACATGAGTTATCACCCCCACTACGAATCCCTGAAGAGGTCTCAGGCAACAACTGTCATATTAGAGCCAGAAAGGACTCAAAGAAAATTCTGGGCAGAAATCATAACTTGGCTCAAATATCAGTTACACACCTTCCTCACCTGGGCTGCCCTTTGCTCAGTTCAGTCACTGGTCATGTTCATGATTTCATCTTTTCTCAGATCCTGGGGGAAGGAGTTGGGAGGAGTGGGTTGTGATAAGAAGACTTTAATAAATATTAAGCAAATGAATTATGGCATCTGTCCTCCCATAGGGCTGCTCCATTTTCAACCTCTTTGAGACTCAGTTTCCTCATCTGCAAAAATGGAGATGACACTTGTACAACCTACCTCAAAGGGTGGTTGTGAACAAAGTGTTTGCAAAGCACTATATAAAAGTGAGTTAGAATATGATTTCCAAGATGTAGCAGTTGACTCCACCATGACTCCAAGTCTCTCAGGCTGCACTCACTGGCCCCACCCCCAGGCCTGACCCTCAGGACCTCCTAAACACGTCAAGTCAATATGAGAGGAATCACAAAGTGGAGTGAGCTTCGAGCCCCTCAGATGGAATTTTGTTCCACCGCTTCCACAGACCCCAATTCTTTCCCGTTCACAAAGAAGCGTTCTTTCTAATGCCCCTGACAGACCTCATCTGGAGTGCTGTGCTCACTTTGGGGCACCGTGGTTTAAGGGCACTGATACGCTAAGGAGTGTCCAAAGGACAACTAGGCCAGCGATGGCCCTCGAGTCCGTGACGTATGAGGAAGGGACTAGGAAATGTCTAGCCTGGAGAAGAGATGGCTCAATGTAGACCATGAGAGCTGAGAGCTCAAGCATTTTAAAGGCTATCATGTGGAGGAAGGATCACACTTGTTCTGATGGCCTAAAAGGATGGGATGGAGAACAAAATGTGAAAGTTACAAAGAGGCTTAATTTCAGGAAACACTTGCTAACAAATGTAGCTATCTAAAAGTGGAATGGCCTGCCTTGAGAGGCGGTATTTACCCCTCAGAGGTATCCAAGCAGAGGCTGCAGGGCCTCTTGTCAGGAACTGTGCAGTAGGGATTCCTTTCCCATGTGAGTTAGACTAGATAGCTGCTGAGGCCCTTTCCAACTCTCAAATTCTGTGACTTGGATGAGGTATGAATGAGATGACTATCAAATGTGCAAATCACACAAACCTGGATAACAGAACCAAGAAAGAATAAAAAAGGCCTAGAACAATAGGCTGGCTTTAATGTGATCAAATTAATAGAGATAAACATAAAATCCCTATAGCTGAGCAAGTACAGCAGTGAAGACAGCCACCCTCAAAATAAAGATATCCAGGGGTCCAGTCAAACCTGACACATAATGAATTGTATGACCCTCAGCATGTGACTAACCTTCTCAGTGCCACTACGTGTCTAAGTTGCACAGCACCTGATCTGCATTAGCAGAAGGAATCCCTCACTAGGTGTTCCCTATATGAATGAAATCACTGGTTCTAATTGTACCCGATGGGAAAGGCATGAATACAGAATAGTTCATGTGAAAGAGATCTGGGTGTTTCAGAAGACTGCAAGTTCAATATGAGTAGACAGAGTGATATGGTAGCCAAAAAGGTTAATGGAATCTTTAAGCTTCTGGTAATGCAGCCTGTGATCAAAGTAAGGGAGGTAACGGTCCTGTTCCACTTGGCCCTGGTTGGAACAAATCTGAAGTACTGGGTTCAGGTCTCCACAAGACATTTTAGGAAGAAAGGTGAAACAGGCCAACCAAAATGGTGAGAAAACCAAATTTTCACTCAATATAAGGAAAGGCTTCCTAACGTGTCTAAAAACGGAGAGGACTGCTTCTAAATACAGTGAACTTTCCATCACTTTAAGCTGAGACAGATTAACCATTTTTGAAGTACTACCATAGAAGATTTCTATTCAGATACAAATTAAACCAGATGACCTCATCACATCCCTGCCAACTTGGATTCTATGATTGCTTGTGTGGTAACCTGTGGGCTGGTCCACAAAAGTGGAAACCTGAGGGAGGGAGTAAAGGAAGGACCTACCAACTATGGAATAAAAAATAAGGAAGAATGGCACATAAGACACTTTGTCTACCTCACAATTTTGTATAGGACTCGTTCTGTGGATGAGAGAATGGGAACTCTGGAAGGACAAGGATTGGGCATTAAAGGAATACTGACTAGAAGCTTCCTAATACCAATGAAACAAGCTTAAATCACAAGCCACTGGACCATAATATGAAATACTTTGTTCTAAGAAAAGTAGTTCAAATAGTACTGTAGAATCTATATGGAAATCAATTGTAGAGCCAGGGAGACTCAAAGACCTAAGTCACTGGTGAAACCAATACAGACCAAGGGGTCCAAAATTTGAAAGAACCCATATACTGGGGTAAGGAATTGGCAGTTCTAAAGATCATATGGCAGTCAGAGACCCCAACCTAGAACATAAAAGGTCTTGGATTTTCACTGGACAATAAATCTCCCCTAAGCAAAGTACTATATTTCGTATCTATTCCCAGATTAGAAAGGCATTTGGGCAATTTGGTTGGGAAGAATGTCCTAAGTTACCTAACTGCAATCTGCAGAAAGATATGTTGATGGGGAAATTATACCTAGAATATCAGGCAATAGGACGATTAGCAAAGAAGCTATCTGCTTGAACAGCTGCAAATGAAAATTGAACAAAATATCTGCTCAAAGAGGCAAGAGGGGCAGGGCAAAAGGAAACAGAACTGTGATAATCAATCATTGAAGAGGAACTAAGACAGGCACACAAAAAAAGGAAGATGGATATGGAATGGGTTAGGAGGCAGAGTTAGGGGGAGAGAGTAGGCAAAACTATCTTTGGCCACACAGCCTTCTAAGTGATAGGGATGGGGTTAGGGAGAAAAACCATGTTATGTGAGGTGCTTTGCCATCTGTTTCTTTTTTTCAGGGTAAAATAGTGATGGGAAAATACTATAATAAAAAGAATAATAAAAAAAATTCTCAAGGGGGAAAAAACCAATAGGCCTCCAATCTTCAACACTTCTAGACTAACCTCTTGGGAGGTCAATAATACAGTTATGGCTTTGCTAGGTAGGGATCTTGGGGGTGAATAACAACAGGGCCTCTCATCTCTGACTCTGCAACCCATCAGCCCTCTCATCCAAATCCTACAGATGCTGCCACTGTCCAATATCATTTCCCAATAATAAAGAAACCAAGCCCATTAGTGACAGGTAGCAATGGACCAACAAACCAAGCTCCTGAGTAGAATTTTTCCACTCTAAGTCAAATCCTCTCCAAAGCAACCTCACCCAAGGTCCTTCGAAAAAAATTTGGTCCACCCAACTCCATCCATCACCGGCCAGGAAAGGCCAGAGAGTCCCACATTGAAAGTTTCATCTAACTCTAACTGGTGATGACTCCAAGCACCTTTCTAAGACGATTAATTCAATTTCTTCCATTCTCTACTTCTGGGGGGGGAGCCCACCCACAAAGCACCAACACTACCTTATTATACAGATAGGAATGAAGCTAAGCTAATCATACCCTCCTCAAACAAACTTTTCAGCTCCCTCACAAATGAAATTCTCAGGTAGACAAAAATTAGAAAGACTGAACACTCCATTCAACTGTACTTTCATGTGGGGTGAGGAAGGAAGATTTGAGTTTGGGGTTGTTACCAAACAGAAAAAAAACCCCAAAAACTAAACATCATACCACACCGGTTTCTATTACTTCTAACTCTGTGGCTATCAAGAATTGCTGACCACCCTCCCTCCAATACTTGTCCACTCAAGTGGACAAGAAACCCATAGCTTCCCAAAAGATCCTTAACCGATCCCAAAGTGTGTGTCAAGTTTCCCAACTTCTCCATTCCTCCAGCTTAAACAAAGCTTACTTCTTTCACCTTAACTCTTTCCAGTGAGTCCAAATCTCCCTCAGCTAAACTCCTTAAATTACCATTAAAGTTCCGTCACTCCATCCCAGCCCCTTTTGGGATCTTCTCCACTTACGCTTGACTCCAATATCAACCACCTAAGAACCCTTCATGAACATTCCCAATTCATCCTTATTTCCATCCATTAAGCGGCTCCCTTGCAGCCCAGTTCCAATAACCCCCCTCATTTCCTTGCTCCAAGCTGTCTGTCAGATGTGGCCCCTCCACCACCCACTTCTACCTTGGCGCCCTGCAAATGGGCTTATTTCATCCACTTCCCCAACCCCTTTTCTCCAGCGCCTAGATCTAGTTCGCCCTCTTTGCCATCCCAATGAAGCCAACCCCTGCCCCAAGCAATCCCCTTTGGTCTGCAGGGCCCAGTCCCCCTTCACCCCTCACCTCCAGAATGCGCCAGGCCCACCCTATCGCATCCCACTCCGACCAGAGCCAGGCCTGGCTGGGTCTAGTAACCTCCCAGCCTGTCTTCTTACCTTTTCCAATACCTCAGACCCCTCCCCACTAACTTGGCTCTCCCTTCCCGCCCGTCCCCCGACTCAAGAGCTCCCCGTTAGGCCTGCCCATCCCTGCCCCCTTCATCCCCAGTACTTCCCTGGCCCCGGAGGGCGCCGAAGCCCAGTCCTCTTACCACCCGCAAAGCAGGCCTCCCTCCTTCCCAGTTCACCGGCGCCTCCTTCCGCCCTAGCCCCTCCGGCTCCACCAGCCCCAATACCTAAGCCTCCGTCTACCCAATCGGGCCCGAGCCTGTGTCGAACAGACAAACAGCTGCAAGTCAACCAAACCCTTCTCCACCTCCTCCTCCTTCTCCTCACCCTGGGGCGGCGGCCTCGACCAATAGCAGCTTCCCCCAACCACCGCCGGAGGTGGGGCTTACGTCGACACATTCGCCAATCGTCTTTGGGGAGGTGGGTTCTTCCGGCATTGTCGCTAACGGATACCAGAGAGAGCCCTGACGGACGAAGCACACAACCAATAGACCACGAAGTTCCATGCAAATGAGCAGCCATTAAAGAGCGAAGTTTCCGAGGTAGGGGGCGGTGTGCTGTTAACGGACATCTGTAGCGACCAATGGAATCTCGACACCCAATGAACCCCCACCTCCTCCTTTCGACTCATAAACATCTGATCAGGTGAGCAATGGAGGGAGGATCATGGCAGAGAACCGACCAATCGTGTCACGAATTAGAGTTTGATTGGCAAACGAGGCGGGGCAAAAAGGAAGCCTTGTTAACCTTCGCCCCAAGTTTGGAATTGATACCAGATAGTTCATCCCGTGAGAAATTTGCAGATCAACCCTAAAATTTCTTACCTAGGAGGATCCTCTCACTGGATTGGACAGGGGAAGAGGGAGGGGAATGAAGGTAGAGGGAATGTTCACTTCCGGGGGTCAGGGCAAAGGTCATAACCCCTTTTGCTTGGTCCCTGCCTTATGACTGGGTCCCCAATGTGGAGAGGCCTCATGCTGGGGCATAAAGGGTAAGGAGATGTGCAGGTGCAGTTTATCTCAGGGTGCGAGGGGCCGGACTCGATGCTCTGTGTGACCCTACTTACAGCAGGCGAGGGCAAGGCGGGAAGAATTGAACTCCGTTCTCGCTTCCTCCCGCCAGCTACCGGAGCTTCTCTCTGGCCCTGCATGACTGCAGGCATTTATGTCGGAGGGTAAACCCTGGTGGGGTCTGTTAGAGGAAAATCCAAGACCTCACCCATCACTAGACGCAGCCCTCCATTCCCCCGAATCCCAAGGATAAAAGAAACAGGCTATAAAACTAGGAACTTTGTTTTAATGAATTACAAACTAAATTACAAATAACATTAAGAAGGATTGGTTGTGGGGGTAGGGAGTGAGGACACACAAGACCATAGGAAGACAAAAATATTTTTTTTTAAGATTTCCCTTACAAAACCCTAAAGGTGCACATGGCAGCAAAATACCTCCCCGATTAAAAAACAAACAAAAAACTACTACAACTTGGAATATAAATAGTATCGTCTGTCCTTCTTTTAAACAAATATTCTCTTGCATTCGCGTTGCCCAGTCACAACCTTCCCCTTTAAAAAGTGTCAGGCATTCTCCAAATGACTTTTAACCCTATTCCTGGCCCCAGTTTTGAGTTTCCTTCATTGGAGGATAGGAAGCAGAGATGCTCAACAGTTAACTGAAAGAAACTAGAGGCCAATTCCAAAACTGATGGAAAAATCAAACACCTCCCACCCTTATAAGGCAGCAGTGAAGTAGTCACGGATCAGAATGAAGAACAATTCTCCCTCTCTTCTCCCTTTGCTCCCATCCTTCACCCCAAGTTCAGTTTCTGCCAATGGACAGAGGGGTGGCAGACAAGGGAGCTAGGGCTAATTGGTTCTGTGGCAGCACTTACTGGCACTGGGTTTTTATTCTTCCAGCCTGTGAGAGGAGGTGAGCTCTCTGGGGTACAAAATCTGATTTTATCTAATTTTCTTTTTAAAAAATTCACAACAAGGAAAAGCACACACATACACACACCAAAAAACAAAAATACACAATTATTTAAAAGGGGCCCTGTGGAATGTTCTTTCAAAGCTTCCCACCTAGCCCTCTGCTTATAGTAGGTCCTATATAAACAGTAGCAGCAGGAGGATGGGAGGGGTATGCTGAAAATCCTATGTGTCACTCCCAAACTCAGGAGACAATCATCACCAAACAGAAGTTCTAGGTAGGGGGTGGTTTGTCAGACAGTGGGGAGCCCTGAGGTCCTGTCTTTTGTCCACCCCCCTCAGCATAGATCAGGAGCTGAGGCTGCAGGGTCTGTCCCACTGCTCATGCCCTAGAAGGGGGCAGTGGAAGGCAGATGTTGGCTTAAGTGCATTGAATACTGAATCTCCCTTTCATCTCCTACCCCTCCCAATCCCCAGCTATCCCCAAAATGGGTAGAGCAGGAAAAGTGAGAAGGTAAGTTGAGAGTTAGGGGAAGCCAAATTGGCTCTCCCCGACCCCTATCTAAGTTCAAACAGCCCTGGAGCCAGGCCAGGGCTGGTCTACCCTAGAAGGTGAGGATAGGATTGGGGGGTAGGGGCACAGCATGGCTCAGAGTCGCAAGTGGGGTACAGGCTTAGTAACATCCAGGAAGAAGGGATGAGTTAGAGCTGCCTTGGCTGAAACACGCTTGTTAGGGTCATAGTGCAGCATTTGCTGGAGGAAGAAAAGGAAATTATTATTAAGAGGGATGTCTGGAGGGGGTGAGGGACAAGCTACTAAAACAGGATCCCACCCACCCTCCATCCTCCACACAGATGGGCCATTTCTCTAATTCACTATACTATATGACTCAGCTTCAACCCCTATTCCCTCTCAGCTTTGCCGGGCAACCCCTGGGAAACCACCAGGGAAAGACGAGGCACAGAAAAAGGCCTCTTCTTTAAGAAATGGTAAGACCTTTGAGTCCAAGGGACCTGACCTCTTCCTGACTTTCCAGGTGAGAGGCACTGCAAGTTGGGTTAAGGGGATGGTCCATTCCGGGATTGAGGTACAAAGAAAAAAGTTGGTTTCTTCCCTCTTTCTTAGCTTACCGACAGCAAGCTCCGTCCATCTTCATCTAGTGGAGGCACCACCTTACTGAAATCTTGTCGTGCCCACTTAGGGAAGCTGGGTTTGTAATCAGGCATGGAGGTCACTCCTGGCCAAGCTACCTCATCTGGTGTCCCCAGTGTCCGAAAGATCCTGAACAGCTGGTCAATTTCTGAGTCTCCAGGGAATAAAGCCCTACGGGTAATCTAGAAAGTAGAAGAGGGGAATGGGAATGACGTAGGTGAACCCCTCCCAGCACACAGAGTAGAGGTTCCCACAGGCAGTGAAAGGTCAATGGGACCCCATGACTCCCCCCAGGGCCCTTCACGGGGTCAGTCACACTTGAGCCTGAGACAATAAAGCCCCTTTATTATCTCCACACCTCCTCCTTCCCTCCCCCAACCATGGCTTTTCAGATCCCCCTAGGCTGGGGTGGGGGGGTTGGGGAGGGGGTGAGTGGGGGCCACTGAAGTGCAGCAAGGGGATCCCAAGCCACTCACGGGGTGTGGGGTGGGCATTGAAGTCATCCCCCCTCCTTGTGATGCAGCCACTTCTAGATAGGAGTACAGAGGGCAGGGACTGTGTCTTCCACTTCTTCTGTTATCCCCCACAGCACCTAGCACAGTGCTGGGCACACAGTAGGTGCTTAATAAATCCTTGTTGATTGATTGAAACAGGAATATGGGCAAGTGTAAGGTAATGCATGAAGGGACAAATAACCCATACTATATTTTAAAGATGATGGGTTCTGAGCCCTTAGCTCAGTTTCCTCATCTATAAAATGAGGGGGCTGGACTAGATGCCCTTCAAGGTCCAGTAAAGGGACCTGGGAATAAGCTCTCAATAAATATTTGTTGCTTATTTGAAGACACTGGGCCAATGTGTTGCTTTGGCCAAAAAGACCTACAAAAGGCTAGGAGTAGTGAGGGCAGGTATTGGTAACAAAAGAGAAAACATTAATCCTACCCTTCTCCAAAACCATGGTGCATCAGGTCACTGCACCTCAAGAGAGATTATCATTGAAACTAGAGAAGATTCAGAAAGATAACTTAAAGAATCAAGGAGATAGGGGGAGGGGCTCCCGAACACACTACAAACATTAAGAATCTTCTGTTGGAAAAGTCAAAAGTTGAGAGCGTATCTCAAAGTCTATAAAATAAAAAATGGTATAAATAAAGCTCCCTGAATTCTGTGCTATTAGAACCAGGAGAGATACCCTAGGAAGTTGAGGGAGGAAACTTTAGGTTCAGTACAGGAAATACTACTCCCATACCAGGTAGTAAACTTTAGAGTGCATGAAATAGTTATAAAAAGTTTTATCTATAAATTAATGGTGGCAGAGCTACAGGGGACTATTAAAAGAAATGAGGATTTTGTTGGGGGACTGTCCTACCATTTGAAGTCACTATCAGGGAAGAAAAGCATACCCACCCACCCCATCCCACTTCCACAATACTTCCCTTGCTATCAGAAACTAATGTAGGGCTGGATGGAGCATAGGTTTTAACCAGTGTGATAGTTCTTAAGTGTTCTCATGCCATGAGGTAGAAGGGGATGTGTGTGTGTGTGGTGGTGGAAGGAGTGAGAAGGTGGGGGATTGGTGAGGATTAGGGTCAGGGTCTACAACATACCATCTCAGCAAAGATACAACCCAGGCTCCATATATCTACAGCTGTTGAGTAGTATTTACAACCCAAGAGGATTTCTGGTGCTCGATACCACAGGGTTACCACCTGAATGGAATGGAAAGGTTGGCAGTGTTTGGATAGTAGGGAAACCCAAGCCTCTTGACACCATTCTGTAAAAACTCCAGTCTTTAGAATAGTTTTTCCTTCCTTCAGCCTGTCTCTCCCACTGATTTCTCCCTAATAATCTTTTCCAACCTCAAATCAGTCTAACATGTGGCCCTTACCCTTACCATGCAATTTATTTTATGTGCTTTCTATGTGCTTTTCTCTCCAACTCTCCCAACTTTGTGTCTGGTTAATCTGATTCCACAATGAATGGGATTAAATTCTGACATTTTCCTGGAGTGTCAGGGCTTCTTTCCCTCTAGTCATTATTACTGTCAATTGTAATATGCTCTAGCATACTATACAACACAATAATAATAATAGATGATATTTATATGGTTCTTTATGGTTTATCAACATTTTCCATTTAATTTTCCATTTTATAGAGGAAATCTTCAAATGCCCCTTCCAAAACTATTTCTATCTCCTTTCCAATAACCCACACTTAGAACCTTAACATTAATTTCT